TTGGATAATGTCAATAATATTACTATTACTCAATTGGTTATAAAAACCTTATAATTTTATAACATTTCACATGATAATCTTATTTTTTTTATTTCTGATAATGCAGCATATATAGTATGTTAAAAGCCTTTCAAATATTATCCCTTTTAATTTTCCAATTAAAACATAATTGTTATTTAGCTCATATTTTAAATTTAGTTTGAGAAACATGAATTAATTATAAGAGTTTCAAATTTTTAATATTATAGCAAACATAACAAAATCATTTATTCATTGTTCCTACACACAAAAGAAGATGATCTGCTTTTTTAAATTCTTTTTTTTTCTTCTACCACAGTTTCTTCTGATTAAAATTCAATTATATTATTACCTTTACTTGTAAAAACCCATTAAAACTCATGGTTTAACTTTGTTTTTTGGATTAATTAACATATATTGCAATTATGTAAATTCTATATTGAAAAAGAAATTATTAGTAATGAAAATTTCATTTAATGCAAAGCAGTAAGTTATAATTGGTATTATTTATTTATATAAAATAATGCAAATTTAATTTATATTTATTTACATAGTATTGTAAACTTAAATTCTTTAAAATTAGAAATAAACCTATTGCTCCTTTTGTGGCTGCTTGATACATCTTGAAATCTGCATTACAATCTGGTATTATTCAACCTCCTTTTAGTAATGAGATGAATACTAAATTTTTGGAAGAAAATGTTGATACATCAATGTTTATTACAATGTTTCAAGAAGCTTATCAATTAGCTTTTAACAATTAAAGAAACATATAGACTATCATTTAGCATTACAGCAATTCAATGCTTTGATCCATATTATATTCATGCTTAATAACAATCATTATAATATTAATTTATATTCCAAAATTCAAGAAATTAAAAGGCCAACAGATCAAATTATACAAGAATGGGAATTTGGAAGAGGAGTTTGAGGATGGTGAGTTTGATTTAAATATTTATTGGAAAAATAAAATTAAAAGCTTACCAAATTTATTAAGATTGGCTTTAGAATATATTTGGCTTCCGGTATCTAGGGTAGATGTGAAACGAAGTGTTTCAGCATATACCAATATTCTTAGTGATAGACGTCATGCTCTTTCAATTGCTGCTTTGAATTTTTTGTATTTTAATAATTAAAATTTTGTATTGTAGTATAGTTATAATAATATATTTTAAATAAAGTAATTTGAAAAAAAACCATATTTGGAAGGCAGTCAGTAGAAAAGGGGGAAATCCAAAATTTTTGTTAATTTTTATTATTAAGCTAAATTTGTGCACATGATCAAGATTAGCCAATTGGTCTAATAATATAAATTTTAACCAAAATTTAGATTTCCCTCTTTTCTACTAACTGCCTCCCATTTTATAAAATTTTTTGCATATACTAGCATATCTTACTATATAAAGCAGGCATAATTTGAGTTTAACGCAGCCACCCTAATTACGAGAATTTATTATTTATTACTAAGCATGGTTAATTTAACCAAACGGTAATTTTACCTGTTGACATTGTACTTTTTTCTTCCGTTTATATAAAAATTTCTGACCTTGATTTAACACAAGAAAAAAATTCTTTACGCACCCTCTTCATTAATAATCCTATTATGAGAACTGAAATGGAGAAAATTATTCCTACCTGTAAAGACAATGGAGAGATACTTGATTATTTGAAAAAACTCCTAAAGCCTGGTATGTTCTCACACAGAGATTCGAACGAAATATAAAATAATGTGGCTTGACTTTTGATATCCGTAGCTTTATTCTCATATGCGCTGTCATATTAATAATATTTTTCCGATATATAGAAATCTCTACCATTTATAACTTTTTCAGGGACATCTCTCGAACCTATTTGCAGGAAAAGAAAAGAGATGTCATAAATCTCATCAACATCGTCCTTCATCCTCTCCCATAAAAAGAGAAAGAAGAAGAAGAGGTAAAGAAAAAATTATTAATTTTCTTAATGTTCGTGAAGAAAGTATTATTCATAATGGATTAAAATTTTATTATTTTTCAGGAACGCGTTTTATAAAATTGATGTATTTAATATATATGTATATAATATATATCGATATGTATTAAAATAATTTATTTGTATATTGTAAATTCAATATATGTATGAAACCTAAAAGTTTCACTTTATTACAATCTTACCTCGCGTTAAAAGTAAGGTAATTAATTAATTTGAATAATCATACGCTTTTAAATGATTTTTCATATAAATACCTGGGTTTTTATCCTTGAACGTGCTAAAAAAAAATAGCAAAAATATTTTATTCAAAGAAACAAAATAATAATAAAATTTTTATTCAAAAAAAAACAAAACAATAATTAAAATTTTTATTCAAAGAAACAAAATAATGATTAAATGTCTGATAGACGAGTTTATGTCCGAAACGTCTGCGATAATGCCATTTTCGAAGACTTCCTTAAAAGTGAAAATTCCTCAAATCGAAGAATGTCCCATTACCATTGAATGCTTCAAAAATACCGCTTAAAATACATGTACCTGCTACCTCTCAAGGAGATTCGTCCATCGCTCTTAAAACACGATCATCCTGAAGGTAGTAGTTTCACTTAAACCAAATCTTGATCGGAAATCGGCGGGATATTAATCATATAAAGGATTACTTTAGTAAACTAATTGATTTTGACAGAAACTTATTGGTCGATTTCGGTCTATTTTCGCTTGTGTGAAAGTTCTAATAAGATGTAAAGAGGTTCATGATGCTGTTGAAAATCTTAAAAACACCGGATTCTGTACAATCAGTATATACCTCAACTGGCCAATATTGTTGTTATAATGAACGTCCTAATACCATTTGCTTATTAGTTGTTTACCCGGCTGATTTGTTCAAGAATCGTATGTTATAAATAATCATTTGCATAGTCTAAAAAACCGACCAGAACAGAAACAACTAATCGGAATCATTGATTACAATAATGCATCAGAAGTATTTCAAGGATATCATCTAAAATTTCTAGATAAGCTTAAAAATACCATGAAAAGAAAGAAAGTGGATGAAGAGGGAAAAGTAGTAAATCAAGAAAAAAAAGAGTTAATTATTGCTTAGCAATTCTTATGTTTTCTTGATACATTAAGTTTTCGTGATTTTATTATAAACATGGGATTTTTTTTCTAAAAGAATAAAAGCGAAAATCTTTATTAATTTTTTAATAATAAAAAATGATGAGTAGTAACGAAATATTGACGTGTGTTATTTCTTTGCTTTCTTAAATTCCGAAAAAGTTTCTACAGCTAATTTCTATCACTATTAATGCTAACTATGATAAAAATTTGTCTCTCACACTAACAAGGATTAAGTTCCGCAAGATTTCAAATCTACAACATAAATGGCAGAGATTAGCAATGAAGTGAAAAAATATAAAATATAAAATAATACAATACTTCCGATTCATTATTACCGTTATATTTCATAATTATGATATGCCATTTCGCTTTATATCTGATTGTGGGTTCTTTAACTTAGTGCATTATGCTGAGTTTAATACAATTTCAATGGTAAATGATATGCGTGATGCCAAAAATCAGGTGAGACATTGAATGAAAAATTCTCTTTGGATCGTTAATTTTGCAAAAGACATTTCTGAATGACTACCTGTATTTCACATTTTTTTTTATTTCTCATATAATATTGCAAAAGATATATGAATTTATTAATAATACATTGCAATTATAACCACGAATATTAAATTTTTTTTATATAAAAGAAAAAAAGGTTCTCGGTTAAGGAATTGATCCCTGGTAATCATACTATCAATATCGTCAATTCCACATTTTAGAGCTTCCTAAATCATTCTCTTATACGAATAGACGGACTTATTTCAGGTATCTTGTATGAAAGTGTTGTGGAAGATTTTGATACTTACATTTGAGGGAGTCAGAAAATTAATAGCAGAGTGTGGGTAAGAAGAGTCTTTTTTGACAATGTTCTTGAATTGAATCAATACGTAGGAAACACCATCTTCATGTAGAGGATAGTCTTCATTTCCAAGAACATATCAGCCCCGTACTGGCTACGTTTACATAATATCACGGCTCCCGAACCTGAAACTGCAGATTCTTATGTGTAAACCGTCACCCAATTTACTTTAAAAAAATTAACATATTGGTTTAATCTTTCTGAAAATTCGTTATAAGTTGTTTGGATCTCCGTTAAACTTTTGTTAAATCATGATAATTTTCTTAATTTTATTTCATCATCAAAAAAATAAAATTTATTTTTAAACGCGAAAAAATAAAAAAATCCCATTATTTTCAAGTTAGCAAACTTTATTGATATTGAAAACCACGATAAAGGGACATGTGAATACACAAAAATCAAGGAAAATTTAGTTCGATTAAGATGATGATATTTATGTTAGTATAATTAACTTCATAATAGTTCGTTATAATTTATCATTGGATAAAAAAAAAATTTTTTTTTATTTTCAATTTTTTAATTTACAAAATGAGTGAAATTAAGAACCGGTTAATAAAGGCAGAAGCAGCTTTGAAGGAGTGGAATGAAACGTGGGAAAAGAGGTTGGTGGAGTTGGAAGTGGGTTTACTGGAGGAAAGATGGAGTGGTGAAGTGAAGAAGGAAAAGATAGATTTTTTAAACGATTTTACAAAACAGAAAAGCAAGTTGGAGGAGTTGAAAGAAAGTTGGGAGGCGTTGTATCAAAAGGAGTTAGCTAAAGGAAAAGGTAATGAATAAATTGCGTAAAAAAAATATGCAAAAAATTATTTTCCATTCATTCCATTTCGTTTATTTATCTGTTTGTTTGAGTGACATATATATTATTGTTTTGAAACATTATTAACCTATATTTTCTTGTTTCTTTTTTGCTCTATCAATGACCTATTGAAATATATATTTCCTAATGTCCATTATCTTCTATGAAACAGGTTAAATTTCTGACTCATTTTATGGTATGATAGAATTGCATCCAGCCAAAGTATATTTATTAACTTGAATGATTTTGGTATTAGATGTTGGATTGGTTCCTCTGAATGATCCAACAGCAACTATATTGGAACAGCTGAAGATCCCATTTGCCTACCTTCCACCTATCAACACTCTGGCAGAAGAGCTAACTGCTCCTCCACCTTCAAATTGTCGCTTTCCACTCTCTAACAGTTGGTATGCTCAAATTAGCTTTCGTGTTCCTACTTCACTTGTGGAACAATCATTCGTACTTTCCACAGATCAACATTCTAAACAGTTATTAGTAGCAATTGTTGGAACAATCATCGAACCTCCTCCAACTGGACATACAGAGGAATCATTCCATCACTTGTGGGATAGTCTCATCACACAAATTATACGATTATTTTGTGAAGAAACCATAAGCTATGAGAGGAACTCAAATCACTTTACATTTACTGGATTGCAACGACCTGACCTTACCCTTTCTATTGGAGGGTATAGTATCTTTCGAGCAGAGGAAAAAGGACCAGAAACTCTTGGTGACCCTGCAGATAAGCTCATATCAAAACTCTTCTAGATATATGATGATCTTCCTTACCTCCTTGCTTATTATGTTCGTGCATATAAGGTCAGCAAATAATCCAACATGTTCTTTTATGAGATATTTATTGACTTTTCTTTGAATTTTAAATTGATAATTTTTATTTTTAAGATTACATTTGCAGCTATAAGTCATGTGAATGGGAAAATTACTTTATATTCTTTTTGTACTTTTAATTTACAACAGCTTGGAGATCGTCTAAAATTGTTCAATGCTTGTCAGGTAGTTGGACAATTACTTCCCATGCTTGCTTCATTGTGCAGATCAAATAGGGAAATTATTGGTGATCAGCTTGTAATTAAACGACCTGTGAAATCTGTGGAGCTTACAGGATCTGTAGTAAAAAAGAAGTATTTGAGCAATGATAATTAGCAGCATGCAAGAGATATTTACAGGTAATATCACTTGAGTTAGATTATGTTCTGAGAATCATCTATTAAACTATTTTCTATACACAGCATTTTACAGAAGAAACCCCAAATAGCATTTGTTGAACAGATGGTATTTTTTCAAAATGTCTATATGTTTTACTCCTCGAGGAATTATACACCTACCTGTCATAATGAATGAGCTTTACCAAGCTCTATCATGTATCTTAAAAGCTTTGAATGAAGTATATAAGCATGGCCTGATGCACAGAGACCTGAGATGGGACAATATTGCTCATGAGATTGGCAAAACCAAGGATAATGCAAACTGGTTTTTATTGGACTTTGATGAAGGTGTTAGTTTTCTACAGTCAGTTGAAGCTAATTTGGACTTTTGATCTCATGCCCCAGAAATTGTAGGGTCACATACCAATAGTGTAGATGTATGGGGGATTGGTTATCTACTTCAGACAAGTAACTTGGTGAGAGAAGATGATAAAATCTTAGGGACACTAATGAAACGATGTCTTGCTGTAAATCTATTGGAAAGGCCAACAATTTCAGATTGTTTGAAAATTATATGCCAATGCATGATAAATTAGAATGTTTGGTGTTAACCTTTGCTAATTTTTTATATACTGTTTTAAAAATCAAACCATAGCATATTTTTACTAAGTTACTAAAAATATGTTACAATAAAATTGATAATAGCTATTATCCGGTATCCCGTGATTTTTTATAATTAATAATGACTATAATAAATCGATTATCAGGCAAAAAATCGGTTATCA